TGCATTGCAGATATATTTTGGTCTGTTGTTGAAAATAAAGGCGAACAGAGGAGACCTTTGGTGTTCTGTCGATGGACAGAAAATAGTAGGTAATGTGTGTATTTGGGCGAAAAGTAGACAATTAAGCGCATAATTAGGCAATTCGGCGGATATTTATGCGGAAATGCGACAATTCGGCGGATATTTAGGCGATAAGTCGGTAATTTGTCGACAAAAAGGCGAAAAAGGGGAAATCCGCATTATTTCCCCCGGACAGGCGAAAAAGGCGACATTCTGATGCGTTTTCCCCTTTATTTCCCCTCTCGTCACCAAAGCATTTACCCTGTAGTGGCATTGGACAATAGCCACACAATCCACAAAGCTGTGAACACGAGACTACACAGAAAATAGATATTCAACATTTAACGCGGAGAAATACCCTACAATGGAGAAGGCGCGTACAATGAATTGAATGGACTGGAGTTGATCGAGTGGCATGGCTCGGCCATGCAGGCGTGGTCTCTGCGGAATGTTACCTTATATCTTCTATTCATATTAAATATATTGTTCTTTCTCTAGCCTAACCTTGTTCTACATCATGTATTGGTAATTGATACGATACAGTGAGTTGGTGTAGTCGATGGTGTGACTTCCACGTAAGATCTTATAGATTAGGCAGTTATATCATGACAAATCTACAAATTTAGGATTAGGTCTATTATTAGAGCACTACTAATATCATAGTAGACCATAGTTCTACATTGGTGAGCCCAACTAAAGAAACGCAACCTATTATTGTTAATCCTTATTTCCACCTTAACCTTCTCAATCGGTTTTTATTTTTGTAAACCCAGTATTTTAATAGTCCTTTGATTAACGGTCACATATATTATCGTAATGTTATATCTATTAGTTCTTATAACTTACTAGCTCAATCGATAATAAAAGTTGATCATCTATATCAACTAATTAGCTTTGATGGTTCGTTAACAAGCTTTAATAGCATTTAGCTGCTTCAGCGACATAGACTTGTTTAGACATCAAGCTCTAGCAAATATGACCTGTAAATAGCGTAAATATACATTGACTAACAATGCAATCAAGGACTAAATAGTTATCTGGATCTAATTCTCAGTGTCCCTTCACTTAACACCTCATCCTGTTTTAAACTATGCACTATCCTGTAATATATTTTCTTCCGACCACTGCCTGCCTAATTTCATATTCTCGAGTTCCATTGCCAAACAACAAGGATGACACTTCTCCAAAAACATACGGTGAGTTCCAGCTATAAGTTTTCTGCAATCATAAGGTCATTTTAGATGGTTCGTTCAATGACAACCACACAATTATCTGGATTCATTCGATTGTTCTGATCCGAGCGAGTGGCAAAAACGTCAACAGCATCAAGCACCCTGGAATTAATTGCCATACTGCATGTTTTATTCTGGATGCTTTTGGATCATTACTACTCACGAATGGCGTTATATATGTCGTCCACTGAATAATCTAATTTTCAAAAATAATCCAGGCGAGTTCAACTATTTTACTTAATGATTTTTTGTACTTAACATGTATATATTTTCCAGTTGCTTTTGCCATATATTTGTAAGTGTCCCTAGGCTAAATGCAGTAACTTCTTATGGAATGTTTATAACGCGCCATATTCCTGCCTGAAGTTTCATAAGCAGTCTTAACTTTAAAATTATTTTCTGGTCATGTTCATTATTTTTAAATTGTCATATACGTCAACAACCTGCATGTTAACCTGGCCCATACATACGTTACACTATATCTTCATGTCTTCTAAATTTAGAAATCATCCGAATCGCCTTTAACATTTATCAATAAACCCATCATAGTCGTTGTTGCTAATCGTATTTGGGTTTATGGATTGGTTTATCATATTAGCAGCCTAAAATGCGAACATAGTTTAGATAATAAGATTAAAAATTTAGGTACTATCAACTGCACTAGTAAAATAACTAAATCCCTAGGTAGCTGTTGGCTAAACAAACGTTTAAAATCAAAACTCCGTAGCCTACTAGAATTAACACTAAACGAATATTTCTGAATTGAAATTTATAATATAATTAGGCGTCTCGGATTCTTTAACGTTATAAATTTCTGATGATTTCGAATCACCTAAAGCAACAATACCTATTTTTCCACTGACTAATCCTCAATCAACACTATAACTAGTTAAACATAATAGTTTCAGGATATCGTCATAAAGCATTGTCATGACTTGACAATCACGTAATATGACTGATAAAATTAATGAAACTATTAACGAAATCGGTCAACAAATTGACTTATAATTATCACTAGTGTTGTTTTTCTTTTATCTTCATTCACTACAGATGATTACAGTATGTTTCTCTATCAGTTGCTCATTCAGTAAATATCTCAAAACCTTGTCAGTCTAATTGATGGTTTAGCGACACAATCATGCATGCAAATAATCAGTATAAGCAGTCGAGCAAATCTCCTGCAAACTGAAAACATCAATGTCGAATTTACCCCAACACTGACTAAGGTTCAAGCCATTATCATAGACATGAGTTGGGAGTGTACTCCCCTTGGTTACAACTTATGTTCTTCCTGATAATCACATGAGCATCACTCACTGTTAATCATCTTGTAAAAACTTATTTAGCCGAATACATCTTGCAGCACCACATCACCTAGTAATATGACACAGGCCTAACTGATTTCAATAACTTATAACCACTATATCTCAATTAAATCGTATTCCGCCTTATGATAAACTGCATACTTGCAACTAACTTGTATGCATCATCAGCCGGCAAGTATAAATATAAATAAATAGTCTGTGGCAACTCAGAACATTGAGTCTAGAGCATGTCTCTTACGAATACACTCATGTTTAACGATTTGTTCTTAGCTATCTGTCCAAAATTCATATAATTATCACTCATGTATTTAAATTTTCTTTTGATAACCATTCATGTGTATTAGTAGTATTACTAAATTCTATCACGGTCAAGTAAAAATGAGGTTGAGAAAATCTCCCCGTAACTAAATAAACCGTATCAAACTAACTGGAACACTAGTTGGAATTCTTTTCCACGGTAATACTTTTGTTCTTTCAGTTAGCCTACTAATACAGATGCAATTGGAAATCACATATGGACAGGTTACCGGCATAATCGTTATTTGATTTCATAATTTAAACCAAAACTAATACCAATATTAACATTTCTACAATATTCATTACTTTAATATTTCTAAACACAAAATACTTACTACCTATACGTTAAGTTATTAACCAACGGCTATTAACACGCATTGTTTTATTATTATTACTGTAATCCCATTTTTTTATAGCTCAAATAATCTTCACCCAAATTTTCATTTTAAGCGTGTCAAGCATGAAGGCAGATTTTTTTAAAAAATTATTACATGTATTTCCCGACCAGATGCTGCCGCCTTCTTTTTGATTTATCTTTCAGCTTATCATTATCCGGAGAATTCTACCTATTCTTGGTAACCCCCGGCGCGCGACGATCCCATCCAGTTTGGTGTCGAACCAACATCACGTTGATTCTGGTGGGAGAGTAGTGTAGTGGCATTGGACAATAGCCACACAATCCACAAAGCTGTGAACACGAGACTACACAGAAAATAGATATTCAATATTTAACGCGGAGAAATACCCAACAATGGAGAAGGCGCGTACAATGAATTGAATGGACTGGAGTTGATCGAGTGGCATGGCTCGGCCATGCAGGCGTGGTCTCTGCGGAATGTTACCTTATATCTTCTATTCATATTAAATATATTGTTCTTTCTCTAGCCTAACCTTGTTCTACATCATGTATTGGTAATTGATACGATACAGTGAGTTGGTGTAGTCGATGGTGTGACTTCCACGTAAGATCTTATAGATTAGGCAGTTATATCATGACAAATCTACAAATTTAGGATTAGGTCTATTATTAGAGCACTACTAATATCATAGTAGACCATAGTTCTACAACCCCTTTATTTCCCCTTTCTTCCCTTTTATTTCCCCTTTTTGTGTTGCTTGGGTGGTCAACCGCAATTCGACGCCACTCTACAAGCCAACACTCTGAATGAACATTTGTGTTTATTGAGCACCGTAAAAGCCGGGAAACTTCACTTGGTTTCCGTTGTGGCCGATAATACTTTCCAGTTACAGCATAAGCAGGCCGCTGTTAATTGTAGTGGAACACACTAAAAACATTTTCGTCATATGGACATTTGAATACCTTTAGTAAACTGAAGGGAGATTTATTACCAACACTGAAACATATCGATAAAAAATATTTTACTTACACATGGTCGGTGATTATAAGCAACAACTGGGTAAAAAGTACCATGCGGTTCTAATTATTGCTGTTCGAACGACTGTTAAAAGTGTGGCATGTCCTGGAGCCCGAAAAAAAACACTAAAAACTAAATAATAAGGAAGTTGTATTTTGGAAACTCAAGAGTGTGTGAACAAAATGTTGGTTGTTTGCATAGTCAGACTAGTAGATAATCTGACAGGTATTGGATGAGTTATATATTTTCCCACCCTCATCATTACTGTGATTGTTGTCGGTTTTTGATGTGGAAACATACTTACGTTCCAATCAGGCTAGTCATGTGTCCATAATCTGAGTTGTGTTGAATTCCTGTAGAATACACTCTGTGGAGGTATCTAGTGCAGACATTCGTCCAAAACAAATTAGCTTTCCATTCGTGTAGACGGTAAACATCGAGCGTTATAACAATGGCGGCGGTGGTTAAAGCGGATCTACGAATATATATTAAGTCAAAGTGGATTTTGAAACGACAAAGCGGATAAGCTGAAGTCTTTATTGCAACAACAAAACGCTCCCGTCAAGTTTCTGGTCAAGAATATGTGACTATCTACACAAACCCAGGTATTTAATTCCACTATGACTTCGGATTCTTCGGTGAATTCAATAAATGAAAATAGATTTGATTCAGAAAGTGGAATAACTTTCGAGGCGTGGTTGAAGCGTCATATGAATCTGTTTACTGATAAATGTAAAGAGTGGAAAAAACGTTCGAAACTGCGATTATTACTGCTGAAGCTCGGGATTTCCGAAGATGAAATGTTCTGCAATTTTATTGTCCAAAGCAGCCAGCCGACACAACATTCAGAGAGACAGTAAAATGCCCGACATTTGTATTTGAGGAACGAACGTCAATTTTCACGCCGGAGATACTGATCGATAAACTATCTTAAGAACCAAAGCGCTACGGCTATTTGCACTGCATGGGCTGACCCCGGTACCAGTGGTCTCGCTCTGTTTCCTGCACCTAGTCTTGCTAATATATTCCCGCAATAACGTCATTTGTGTCATGAGTCATCATAGTAGCCATAGTACCTCGATACGACGAAATGGCAGTCCACGTTGGGAAGTGACTGCGAAGTGTTGCTTCAGTGTTAGCTGGTTGTTCACACGTTTCCCGTCTGAAATGTGTATGCCTTGAGTCATTCGGTACACAGAATCAATGTTTGTAATTCACAGGTTATTCTAGCTTGTGTATAGACCGATTTAATCATACTTGTTGAGTCACAGTTTGAACTTTTCTATTACTCCCATATTAAACTTGATGGGTTTTATATAAGTCTATGTGTGTTTCGCTGGATTTATTTATCACATATCTTTAGTTTATTTTTATTCAACTACAGATATTGAGTCATGTTTTTTTTCAAAATGAGTTGTCAGGTTTGCCTTCTCTGCTCTGCTTATCCAATTCGTTTCTCTGATTGTCAGTCTGGATTGACGAGTGTATGAATTATATGTATCCGAAATTCATTCTGAAGCTCTACGTATTTAAACCCATTATCTTCTAGTGAGAATTAAGTTGATAATTATGTATGAGGGTTGGGGGCACATATATTTCGTTAACATCATCATACGTTCATAACAGAGTCAGATACTGAGACACAAAATCTTTAGGAATTGTTATACAGTTTTCGTGACTGATCTGGAATATTGCCTAGAGCAGCCAGTATATGCCTTAAAAAGGACAATGAGCCGTTGAAAGTAGTCCACAGAAAATCAGCCAAGTTGACTTCCGGAGCCGCAAAGCTGCCATTTGACCACAGACTGGCCACAAAAAACCTGCTCCATTTGTCATTTAGAAGTGCCGGAGGCGAATTAAACACAGCCTTCAAACAAATTAACAATAGTTTTTCATCCAAAATTTTGCTGTTTTTGTTGTTTTCCGCAACAGAGGATTTTCACAGGATCTTCAAAAAACATGTTGACTCAATAAGTGGCGAAACTAACCGAGAAGGACAAGGATCCTAGATCCTAACATTCACATCCTTGCATATGGCGGCTGCAATTTCTGATGCATTTCGTGCCGACAAACGCCGGTTGCCAGATGGAATCCATATTCATCCGTAAAGGCTACATAATGCCAGGATCAAACACAAAAGCAAGTTTAAGCTAGCTATTCCAGTTGTGAACTGTCAGGGCCATGAAAAAAACCGTGCGTAGGTAAGTTATCTATCTATTCCCACGAAGCTCACACAGATAAACCGGGTGAGGAAGCTCAGGAGTTTCAAACTGAAAGCATAAACTGCTTACAAATGAACGCCTTGAGTATCGAATAGAATTCAGGAGCTGCGTGAACTCAGTAATCCTAATTATGCTCATCTGATAGGAATAGCTGAAACATGGATATCTTCTCAGTTGACGGACCAGGATTTGGCGATGCGCGTTATGTCTTTGTTTCACACCGACAGAACTAGAATGGGGGCGGGGTAGCACTATACTTTCGATCTTGCCTATAGATACATCAAGTGCACAACTAAGAGTTTGTCAAACTTGACGAGTTCGTACGGTGCTCACTAAGATCGTCCACCTCCTCGAGGTATCTAGTTGGAGTCATCTACAGGAAGTCCACTCCTGACATCAAGTACGACAATCATTTGCTGGAAGGATTATCCCATTACTCGTCTCGGATTCACTCATATCCTGATTCTAGGAGATTTCAGTCTTCCTAAAGTCGATTTCGCTGGACATACGTACATTGCAGGTGAAAAATTTACTGAAGCTCGGTTCTTCAACCCTACTGAAGATCTGAGACTAGTCGAAAATGTGGGGTCGGTAAATCATCGGGGAAAACAGTCAAATACAGTCGCGCTTTGACTGAGTATTTAGAAACAAAAAAATCCTAATTGGCAAGCCCTCAATCCTGGCTCCCCTAGGGAAAAGCGATCACGCCATCATAGCCTTTAGTTTCTCCAGCAAAACTGAGCCAAGACATCCAATTTTAAACGGTTGGATGTGTCAGCTAAACTAGACAATATACATCAGGTGGGCTGTGAAGTCCACCCTCAGCTTGATTTAAAAGCTCATTGGGATTTCTTACTGCACACCACCTTATATGCTACAAGGTAGTCTTTCCCTAAAAATGTCCCCGGAAACTCCGAGCAACCTACAGTTATCAAAAACCGCTCTCTTTATTTGCTGAGCCGCAAGAGGCACTGCTAGGCGAAATACAAACTAATAATAACGGAGCATATAGGCAATTCAGACACATCAGAAGCACATGCACAAAGGTAATAAATGAATACAGGCCTCAATACCAGACACTAACGATATTGATAAAAGCTTCATCTGCAACTCCACAGAACTCTCAGACTTGAACACGAACGCTGACTTCGTGATGTTCTCACATTCGCTAATCCGAGGCACATTAGTGGAAAACTGGAAGCTGGCTCATATCACACTAATTTTCAAAAGGGGTCGACGCAGCGAATATTCTAGCTACCGACTGGTAGTACTTCTCTCTATGCCCTCAAAAGTTATGGAGTCCCTGATATGCCACAGTATACTCGGCTACTTTCTATCAATAAACTTCTTTTCACTCCAACAGTATAGTTTCGGGAAGGGTAATTCTTGTATAACCGATTTGCTAACTGCAGTGGACAGATAAACAACCATCCTTGATCGCAACGGGGACGTTGACGTCATGCACCTTGACTTCTCAAAAGCCTTTGATGCGGTCCATCATATATGTCTTATCAATAAGCTCGAACAATTAAGCACCAAATCACCTTTAATTGGTTGGCTCACTTCACACCCAAAAAATCAACATTTTAAGGTCAGGGTTAACTTTACTTTCTCTCAGGCTATAAAATGTTCTAGCGGGGTCCCTAAGGGTTCAGTTCTATGACCTCTTCGTTTCTTGATTTATGTGGGCGACCTTCCAGAACAGGTATTGTCAGATTTATTCCTTTTCGCTGATGATGTGAAACTGTGGAGAAAAGCGCATAACCAAGAGGATAAACTAGCACTTCAGGAGGATCTGACTCGACTTCAAAGTTGGGCAGATGACAACGAACTAAACTTTAACACTTCAAAGTGTAAAGTAGTCCATCTTAGACATATTGCAGATTACGAATACAACTTAGGCAACTGCCTTCTAGAAGTATCCGAAGTTCAGAAAGATCTGGTGGTGTTTTCAATCAAAGACTTGACGTCTTTCACTGACTGCGACCAAAATGCCTTCTAATCAAACCCTGAACTGGCAACATTGAAGCACATTTCAGGCAGTTCGACGGAAGAGAACACTCTGGGACGTATCCAACGACAAGCCATGAACTCAGTTCAAGGACTAAAACTTAAGTCTTATGAAGAGCGTGATGATGTCACAGGTATTCAGTGTTTGACAACGCTTCTACCAGTAACACCTTCTAAGATATTTCGTTCCCACCAAGAGAAATCAAAAGACAGAGTCGAGGAGATCGGAAGAGTATATTTGGCGATGACCAATATACCGGGATTCTCTGATCTAATCTGGCTAGCGATTGTGGTTGATGTTGAGCACGGCGTTACCACACGTGATCTGGTGCGGATGCCTGACCGAGCGCCTTCAGCTAGATGAGTCCACTAAAACATATGGTCAGCATCCAATGTCGAAAACTTACAGAGCTATTTATTTTAGGGATTTATTTACCGCTACAAGCGCTTCCAATCACTGAACCTTTACGCATTAGAGAACAGCATCTTAGAGGCGACCTAATAGCTTACAGCATCCTAAATACTTCTGGACATCCCCTAAACAGCTACTTAAGCTTATTCCCGACACAAACCTTGGGAGTAACACCCAGAAACTGGAGACACAACACAACAGGACGGACTGTAGACACACCTTACACTCCTCAAGAGTAGTCAAACTCTGGCATTTGCTACCAACTGAGCTATTTTAATCGAGTTCCAAGGAATCCTTTGAAAGAAAACTTGACATATTCTTGTGGACTTATGACAGTATCTTACATTGATTTCCCAATTTCTTTATTTCTCCTGCTTTATTGTTATTATACATGGGTTCCTACTTAAAGGTTTGGATGATCCACTGCTATTAGATACGGAAACCGGTTAAGCGAAATCTTCTTCTATTTCGTCCAAAACTATTTGAACCATTTGACCCTGAAACATTACAATTTTAGAAGGTTAATTAGTATGTACATACGGGACATATTGGTCGCATGAGTTTGTCCACTGAACATAATAGTGCTACTAATAGTGAGCAAGAAAATCAGCCAGATAAAGTGATACTTCTGCTTAAGGCTGCTGGAAATGCTCCTGTAATGAAAAAGATGAAGTGGTCTGTAAGCAGGAAGCAGAAAATCCACTGGGTAGTGGATTTTATAAGGAAATATATATCATGCGCTCCTTCTGAATCTTTATTTCTATACGTAAATCAGTGTTTCGCACCGGCCATGGATGCTGAGATAGGTTCACTATATGACTGTTTCAGTGTAGAAGGAAAACTAATTTTACATTATTGTAAAACTCAGGCGTGGGGATGAAAATATATTTTCTGTTTATACCTATACTTTAACTCATACTTTTACTTCCTTTTTAGTTCGATGCAGGCTCGGCAAGTAAAAGTAGATGGTTTGTTCCTAGTTTTCGACTAACATTTTTTGCCAGTTGGTAATTTAATCAGTTACTTTATTGAATCTGTGATTCATTTGTATTTATACGAAGAAATGTTTACCCCAGTGCTTCTTTTACTGACTTTGTCGCTTTTGGCCTGCATTTAAAGGTAATCTATTGCAATTTCTTGTAACTTCATCTCTGTAATATGATTATTAGAGACGAAAAACAAAAGCATGTATGTGCTAAAGTAGTATTTTCCTTGATTTTCTGTATCACTGAACTGCCTTGGACGCCTAATACTGGTTATATTTAAAGATGTAGCATTCAGCAAATCACTTGGTCCGTCCTGATGTGGCTGTTTTATTTCCGTCCATTAGACGGTAGAGAATGTAATCCCATTTAGTATTGTTAGACTGACAAATTTCGATTGCTTCATGTCATGTGTGTCAGTCTTGCGTGTGATAATCAGACAGTATTGTGAGGGCTTAAACAGAGAGATAAGATTATGGTCTGTAATCAAACCTATAAGTAGCACTTCACAAATACATAATGTCATACAACATAGGTATTCCATTATTCTAGAGAAATTGGACATTAATATCCCTTAAGGACTATAGTCGTGATTTCTCTGTAAGTCTTGTAAAATAAACCTAACTAGCATATTTTCAGTACCCTGAAAACCAGATTTAGAAAAATAACGTTACTTTCATTTTACAGCACTCAATGGCGTTTTTATAGGTAAGTAGTCTGTAGCTTTATTTAGGTGCCCCAATTAGGACAATAAAAATGCATCTCGAGTTTCATTTTTAATTTATTGGTGTTATTATGCTTAGTAATCTAAGTAAAACGCTTCTCTATGCATGAAGTATATTTGACGGCCATAAAGCTTAAAATGAATGCATAGAACAGTAAGATTTTCTATATTGCCATTAAGAATATGTTTCTTGTGCTCAACGCATTGGTACATAGATAATCTTTAACCCTTATTAGTTTAAGCCATATAACCGAGTATTATTATTAAACATTAGACTGAAAACGCTTGGTTTAAAATCGATTTTATAGATTTTAACATGATGAATGAGTCATATCTTTTCTGAACCACCTTCCTAAGCAATAAGTCTAATGATGTAAATGAGCTTAATACACTCAGTTGCTTTATTTTTATGAGCCTTGACATCTCTTCCAACACTTGCGTTCTCTCGACCTTTCGATAGTCATACTAATCCTACTTCGCCATTGTTTTCCTTAGATTTCTGCGTATCTACTGATAATGATCTAAATCCTTTTCGAACTGCACTTCCATCTAAAATCTAGGGTTTTCTCCATTCATGCTTATCAAACTAAGCATTAAAAAACGGGTAAGAAGGTTAAAGTTTCACATTGACTTTAACTTTCTGGGTTGTGCATGTACGTCATACCTTTCAGCTGCCATCGGTTGACTCCAGTTGAATGACTTTGATGAATGGAATATAATTCCCCACATAATTTCATATACAATACATATATTGTACCAAAATATAACATTCAATAAAGCCATTAGTAATAATAAGTTATAAGGAGCATCAGTGGTAATAAACGACCACATATTAACCATTCGTCAGGTTTTAGGACACAGGGATGTTAATCGGCGTCCGATAATGACATTTTTTCCTGACTTGAAAGCAGCATTTGACTCTGTAGACCGAGAGGTTCTGTGGCAGTGTCTGTCATCAAAAGGTGTACTTCACAAACCTTGTGAAGGCTCTGTACTCAAACACCACTAGTCGAGTCAGAGCTTGTGACGAACTGATTTAGCTCTCTTGTACCAATATTCATGTGTTCAAATAAAAATAATAAATAATAGACATAGTGGTGGACATAACGTTCTAGTCGACTGAATTTTCGGGTATCGAGCTCCTACCAAGCGGTCCACTTACCAACTTAAAATACGCAGATGACATAGTTCTGTTTGGTGAAGACGCTGATGAAATGCAGAGTCGTTTGGTAGTACTAAGCAACAATGCCAGAATGTTTGGAATGCGCTTCTCTCCCTCTAAATTGAAGTTGTTTCTTCAGGACTGGTCTGCGTCGACACCTGAACTAAGGATAGGGAGTGAAGTAATCGAACGCGTTAACAACTTCACTGATCTTGGAAGTCTGATCAGCCCTAATGGGCTGGTGTCTGATGAAATCTCAGCACGGATTCGGAAAACTCGTTTGGCTTTCGCCAACCTACATCATCTATGGCGAAGTCGAGATATCCGTCTTTCAATCAAATGACGAGTATACTGCGCGGCAGTTCGTTCTTTTTTACTTTATGATTGCTAAACATGGCCAGTAAGGGTAGGAGATGCTCGTAAGCTACTAGTATTTGACCACAGATGTCTTAGAAATATTGCCAGCACTTGATGGGATCACTGGGTAAGTAACAGTGAGGTTAGACGCAGGGTATTAGGAAATGATAGTAAATCAGTTGATAAGGTTGTAAATCTTCATCGACTGAGATGGTTGGGCCACGTGTTACGTATGCCTGAACACTGATTACCACGACGCACAATGCTAACTAGTGTTGGGGATTTTTGGATGAATGTTAGTGGTGGCCAGATTTGGATCAGTCATTCAAAGTCTCCAACCATTGGCTACGTTGATCACGCAGACCCCAACCATGTAGTTTAAACACGACTCAGTCCAATCGTCAATGATTTTATGGACAGATGCCATGTTTTGGCATGGTCGCTCCTAACACTCTTTCAGCCTACTACTACTAATACACCACACAACATCGCCCATCAAGGTTGGTGGTGGTTAGGCATTCTTAACACATGTAACAACCACCTGAGCTGTTGTTATAGATCTACCACCTCAGTGAATTTGCCATCCGACTCCGTGGTTCAAACATACGCGAGGAATGCTTCAAACACCTGTGATCGAATACCAGTAACCTACGAACATCCTCTGTTCTTAATGTCTATATTTCACATTCATAATGTAGAACGGAGCAAACTGCTGCACAATAAACCTACCCTTTGGTTGGAAGACGGATATCTCTCTCACGCCACAAAAGGCTCAAGCTGACGAAAGCCAATTGAGCCTTCCAACTCTTTCCAAGACTCCGTCAAACACCAGACCATCAAGACTGATGAGATCTCCAAGATAAATAAAGTAGTTTATATGTTTAACTGCTTCATTCCCTACCACTAATTCAGGCGTTGACACGGGCCAGACCTGAAGTAAAATCGTGGATTTGGAGGAAGAAAACCGCATCCCGAAAATGCTTGCATTGTTAATTAAGATGGTCAGAAGACTACTTTGTCAGCGTCTTCACCAAACAGAACTATAAAATCCTCATATTCCAAGTTAACAAGTACATGTGGTAGCAGAACAATATCAGAAAGCTAGATGGCAGGAATGTTATTTCTAAAAGAATGTTTATACCAAAGTTAATTAAAATTGGGAAAGCGGATAACCCTGACGAACATTACTAAAAGAAACCAGTACTGATGGTTCGTCATAAGCTCTTAATCGACCGGTTGTGTTCGAGTAGAGGGTCTACGAGGTTAATTTATTCCTTTGACACGCCTTTCAGCGACACACGGCCACAGAACCACACCATCATCAGAGTTGAGTGCTTCTTTAAGGTCAAGGGATGCAACCATAGTTGGGCGGTGAGAATTATGCTTATTTTTCAGAACCTGTCAAAGGATGAATATTTGGTCCATACATCCACACACAGGCCTGAAAACAACCTGGTTCTCTCCGACTTGTAATTAACGACCTCTAGTTGGACGTCGAAGCATTATTCAAGTTAATATTTTAGACATATTAGTCAAATTGATTCCTCTATAAATATCTCAATAGTATTTTTATCCCTTCTGATATACGAACAGTCATCTACCGAGACCAGTCTGATGGGATTACTAACAGTTCCTAGATCCTAGTTATGATCTCAGTCAGTCAAACTTCTAAAATTGGGATACCATCCATGAAAATCTCAGAAGTCAATTCACTAGGCCGTGCTGTTGTCCGTTGCTTTAGGTTGTCTATATCTTTTACAACCTCATTAAGAATTGGTAGACTTACATCATTTTGCTACTCATATTACTTGGAGATAATAGTTAACAGAGGTGTGACTGGAGGTCATTTAAACTGTTATCTAAAGTGTTTTGCCGATTGGTCCAATCTCCTGAATTAAAAGTGAATAACAATCTCATCATTTTTGGAGATACTTCCACCAACAACCGGATTTTTAATGTCTTTTTAGTTGATCGTTCTGAATAATTGTCTTCTATTACATATCCTCGCTTCCTTTTCCATCCCTTTCGCTCTCGCTGTCCACTTTACTCACCAAATTTGACTTGGTGATTTACACATCAGCTGTCTGGTATTTCAGTTAATAGTTCAGATGGGTATAAGGATATGAATAGGCACTTACTTAGCGTTTTTCTGGTTAGCGTTTTTTAGCGAGTTAGTTTTCTACGGGATGGGGACACTAACCCCATGCCCAACCCTCCTCCTTTATCCGGGCTTGGGACCGGCAGTAGCCCCCGGAGGGACTTCAGGCGGAGTTTGAATAAGCACTACCTGTAGTGAAAGTACCTCTTTAGTTTTCACTAAGAGCTCCAAATTTTCATTGAATTTTTTGGAAATTAATGTAAATGTGCAACTTAGGCAAGGTATTAAACTTCGTAGTCTAACTCCATGTGATGATTTTCATGTCCTTAATTTTTAATGGGACTCAGTAACTATGTAAAGCTTAATGTACTGGGTTTTTAGCTACACTTTTTATATTGGATATAATGATAATAGGTGATTGCCGAAACCAAAATAATTAGAGGAGTTCAGTCACCAATCTCAGTGGCCGGTGTTTAATATCTTATCTACCACTTATACAGTACTCAGCATACCATGTCTAAGTAAGCGGTGCTTGCATACGTCCAATATGCCTCGATTAATGAACATGTTAAAAGTACCTGTAGGACTTTCCAGTGTAGTTTGCTTACTCTTCGTTAATTCTTTCTCAATTTAATGTTGATTAGTGTGGCATTGTGAACTATAAGGGTAAAGGCTTTTATTCCTGTGTACGACTATTTATTACCTTATTTTTATCGATAATATGTAACGATATAATTAAAGCAAATAATCAGGGACAATAAATGTCTTCAGTACTATTCCTGGTGTTAGAAGCATCAATTTCATGAACATTTCGCCTGATTTGCTTTCTGGTCGGTCATCAAACTTTCCATCTAGTCATACTTGCTGTTTGAATTGTGTCACTGTGATATTCGATATTTGAGAATTCTTATCATAATCGTGATAAGACATAATATGGAGTATTCAGTACCATCCTCTTTATAATGTGAGCTTAGGGTCTCAATTTCGTATCCACCATCGTACCGTGCAACCTAGCTAGTGTGCTATTGAATTGATTATCCAGCAACTTTTATTTTTAAAGGTCTTTTAACTCCAAAATATGCGTTAAATGTTTGATCAGTCAATTAAATTGCGTTACTTAGTGTTGTCATTTTAGGTTACGCAGAAAGTGGATGACTGAGATATCACTTACCTTTTCAGTCTTACTTATGGATCAAAAGAGGTTATTAACACTATTATCATTATGCAGTCAAAATAAAGATAGCGCACTTCTCACAGTTGGCTATTTAAGTAAAAAACTGCTTAAATCCATGTTATTTTATACGACAAATTCCAAAATTACATGATATGATTGCTTGATACTGAATATAGCCTTTTATAGAAATCGACCGAATTATAATGAGGTCCACACACTTAGTTACCCCTCGTGGAGGATCATAGGCCGCCCACTAAGTATCCCCATCAAACTCTGTCCTGGGAAATCCTCTTCGGCTGTTCTCAGTTGCTGTTGTTTCGTAGGGTCGGACTGTCATTAGTAGTCGTAAAGTAAACAGGTTGTAACTGACTGACCGAAACAGATTTACGGAAAACTGTAATACTTCTTGTTTTATTAATGGGGAAAGAATAAAAATAAAGAAGACCACAGATTGGTAGGAAAATTTTGGTATGATTAAGAGTGTAGCGTTTTGTGTATGCCGACATCTTGTAGGTCTTCGGACGACATAAGTCATTAAGCACTTTCTTTGCCACTGCTCACATGGGTCCTTCATAGGCAGTGATCGTTAGGCAGTTTTATCCTTTATTTAACGAACCTTATTGCTGCCGATCGAAAACTGTCAAACAAAGAGAAATCTGGTTCCCTCCAGATTTTTAAATTTTTCTAAATCGGGAATACTAAATAACTCAGTGCTAGTTACCAAACCAAAGTATCCTACTGCTGTCGTCATTTCCAAACAAACAGCACTTTCTAGTTCCCCAACTTTCTGTTGAATAAACAGTTATTTGCACGATGGCATTAGTCATTCTTAGTTCTCCCGTCTTTCAATGATTGTGCGGTAAGACCTTACAAAACATGCATTTCAATCAGTAGGGCTCAAATAAGTTCTGCAAACCCGGTCATAATACTAAAGTAGCAGCTGTCAAATGGAAATAAGATAACACTTTTGCAAGTTTTCACTGTTACAACTTGCGGTTTTGCGCCCTATTAATGTGTAACGTAATGATACCGTAATTTATCGATCGGACCAATAATGCATAAAGCCCGTACGAGCAGTCTAGACTTCTTATTGATCCTGCTTCCTGCTTGTCAAGTCCAAAACACCAATCTCAGCCTCCGCGATATGAATCATGTATTTCAAACATACTGAGTTTATATGCAAACCATCTAGACCAAATCGCACCATAAAATAGAAAATAAAATTTGTACAAGATTCAGCCAAAAGTGGCTGTAAATGTGTTAGATAGTAATTGATAGATTGGGCATAACTGAAGAATGGTAAGTCGTATAATAATAATTCATAGGTCAAAAAAAGCTCATGGTAAGGGGAACACGAATATAATTATTTTAGTTATTTAACAATTATACGATAAAAATATACGTATAGTGTTAGTCCAGAAATAGATTACGACAGTTACTATTCATTATTCTCATCGGGATATAACAGTCGCTAGTTTCATCAGGTTGTAGAGAAGATCACTATTGTGTAAATATCTAGGTGAGAGGATTTCAAATTGTTCCGTCCAAGTTTTTACTTTAAATGGGCACTCATATATTCTACTAAGTAGCATTAGTTTCCTCGTTGTCCATTCTTGTATCTAGTATAGCTGTTCTTAGGATCAATCAATATGTTTACTTAAATTCCTTCGTACTTTTAAGTAACTGTGGAGGCTAATTTCCTCTCTATATCTGACTCCAATAAATGATATCCCGTTAACTGAGTATTTAACGCTGGCTAAATCTCCTAGTAAAGTTATGGATTTACTCGAGATTATTCAGAAGCCTGAACACTAGTTGTGGAGATACTTTTTTGTTAAAGATTAATAAAATCAGCAAGCAAGCACACAGTGAAACAAAGAGTGTGTGTATGAGTGTGAGTTAAAAATCGATATGTATTATGAGTGTTAATCAAGTGTGGATAAATTATTGATTATCTGTGTGTTACAACCAGTGGGAGAATAGATTAAGGATTGACGTGCAGACACGCGCTCAGTCATACACACACAGAAATTAACATTGTGGATTAAATGTCTAAATTACAGTGAGTAGATAAATAATACAATAGCTGAATGGCCTTACTACATCACCAGCATATCTTTGTGCAAGATGTGATATCTGAACAGCCACAAACAAATATTACGAACAGTTTGGTGCTGCGTATTAAACTTTGTGCAACATAGTTTGACACAGAAAACTACTGGGATGTAACTGATTCGAATACAGCAGCTAAATAACTATTCTTTTTCCAGTAATTCATCCTACTACCTGTAGTTTCTTGATATTAAACTACAACTTTATTAAAAGCTGAGGAGGAATGTATAGAATAGAACTTGATGTTATGAACGAGTTTTTGATTGTTGAAATCAATAAATGGGATATTAGTTAGTCGGTTATATGCATTGATGCGACGTGGCCTAGTGATTACTGCTCATAGGACTGCATTGTATATATATGCTAATGTTTTGGATCACTGTTGTACTGTGATTCCTTGAATAACATCTTCAAACCCTAATTTTTCTGAATACAGCTTATAATTTTACTACATCTAGCACTACGGGATTTGAATCGACCACTGCATCTCTGTGCTAATGTGGTGTGGCAACTCGAACTGATGTACGTACGTACGAAGTTCTACGTTGTTACTGACTGACTTCAGGTTACGAATGATTGGGTAGTTCTAACACGAAACTCGATCTATATGAACTGGATATGACAAATGTGCAACACTTCAACGAGAACCCACCGTACTATGCGAGGGGAAAAGGAAAAGTATTGTAAGAAAGATGTGTGGGTGAAGACTCCAGGAGGACTAAATCACATTGAAGTCGGTCCGATCATATATCGATTAATTTCAGTGACTTTTAACTACAAAGTTAATCAATTGAGCAGTCAACACTTGTGCGCAAAACCATAGTAAATAAGTCGATCCAGTTGTATTTAATATCGTCTTCAGAATCATATCAATGTGCACAGGAGACTAGCGCTGTCTTCCCAAGCCACCAGAAATAGGTGAAGTGAGTAGAGTTTTCCAGAAGCACTTGTGGACTTTCACCTTCTGTAGAATTCATGACTTGTATTTTTTTAAGATAATTTTCAGGGAGTATTTATTCTTCTTACAAACAAATTAGGACAACTGGTTGGTAAGATAATGTTGAGGTCATTAGCGTTACCCTTTTTTAAGACTCTCTCTTCTCAATCTGTTCATTTTTAGACCTGCGATAATCCCGATGTAAAGAAGTACATTTTCGACTGTATTGAATCCTTACGACACCAGATTTCGGAGATCAATGAATTTCGTGTTGTAATTAAATCTATATCGGCCAGTCCATTTGAATCGAAACCCATTGAATCACTTGTTTTACAGTTCAATAAACTAAATGAAGAGTTTATCCGGTGAGATTTGTTTAGATAGGAAGTATTGTTACACTTTTTTAGGGAACTTCTTTTTAGTCAATTATATCAAGCCATCAATGTTCTCCCTGAAAATGTTTGTACATCAAGAAAATTAGTTTATTTAGTCCAAAATACGTTAATAACTGATTGCCTGAAGAAACAACATTTTTTAATTGACACAGATGCACTTTTGATCACAAATTTGTAATAATCCAAATTAGCGAACCAAAGACAGCAGTGAATAAGGCAAATGAATATAGTTAGTGTAAATAGTCCAAAATGTTTGAGGTTTTAAACGAGGAGCCGATAATGATTGGCATTGAGTTAAAATACTATATTTTGTGAAGGCGTGGAATATGTTATGATTAGAGATTCCAAACGATACCACGTACTATATTGCCAATCGGACTGGCAACATATTTCAAGAATTTATACGCTGACCAAGGAATAATAATCAATGCCTTAATACTTATTGGTCCTCACGTCCCTTCTAACCCACTAGTCAATCAGAAGATTCAGATAACAGTAGATCTGTTCTCTATTGTACCCATTTCGACTATGGATCAATACTTATACAATAATATACTTGAAATGCCTAAGTACAGAACACACTAAATAGGAGGACACAGTTCATAACTAATTAAACATAATTAGGGGATAGTAAGACTTATAGCAAACTCCGCCTGGAACCCCTTTGGTGGCCCGTAGTTCTCGACTCCATTTAGAGCGTACGAATGTTTGTTACCGCCTATTCTCGTATATAATCGTCGACTTAAATCGCGTTATCCAATAACGGAATTAAATAAGTCGAATAACGAGAATTGACTTGAGAATACATATATTTCGTACATGAAGCGAATGAAACATAGCAAAGCAAAATGACACGTATGGAAGATGGCTGGGAAGCCAACTCCATTTTAGTCAAGCGTTACTCAATATTTATAGTCAGACAAAATAAACTACAAACATGTGATGAGTCATGGGATATGAAGTGTACACACATATACGCTCATATATAAAAACAGTTAAGACTGATAAGTGAATAATTGACAAGGTCAAAATATGACTCAAGTAGAATGAACAAAATGGAATGTCCGAAAACTAGAATATAAGATATATGGGCTTAAAATAATGACTGACACTACACCCCTCTGGGGCTACTGCCGGCTCCAAGCCCAGATGAAAGAGGAGTGTTGGGCATGGGGTTGGTGACCCAATAGCGTAGGAAACTAACTCGCTAAAAAACGCTAACCAAAAAAATTATTTAAACTCTGTCCCGGGAGTCAGAAGACCTTCATTTAGGAGAGTTATGGCGCATCATGGTGAAAGCCGAGCTCCTTCAGTAGTCACAAGGACGATGCCCATTCTGACAACTAGAGTAACCATTTATTTAGGTCCATGGAATGCTTGTACAATGTAAAAAAGGCCCAGGACAGAGTGGGTTGGAGAATGCTGGTCGGTGGCCTATGTTCCACTGGGAGTAACAGGCGAAAGTAAGACGTATAGCAAGTCAGTAGGTCAACTGAATGCTTAAAATAAGAGAAACATAGAAATACAACATTACCGTTGTATACTCATTATACAATAGAGATCTAAATAGACCGAAAAATAGTTTAGAGTATTCGTTCTGTTCTAACGCCTTTCCTTTTCTTGAAGAATTGCAAAGGGTCTTCACTTAAAAGAACATCCATAATCAGATTCTGATAAAAATCAAATTATTTCGAATTATTGACATTTTCCTCCACGGAATATTGTAAGATTTTTTCGTAGTAAGATGGTTAAACTCCGGGCTATCTGGACATGCTTGACATTTAACCTCTGGTCATTGTGAGCTGTTCGTTTTCTGAAAACATTATACACTGCCGTAGTACTTTGATTTCGGCATTTCCCAAAAGTAGTTAAGATATTATGATAGAAAATATGTTTAATTATGATTTTTTCTATAGTTCCTGATTTTCCATACCATTTGGTTCTTGAATCATTAGAATGTGGAAAATTATTCTGTTGTAATCAGCTTTCAACTGAGGTTTTCATAAAATCCCATTTCAAAACGTGGAATAACATAGTGTCAGTCTTTGAGTGCTCATACTTTCGTGGTCGTTTATCTGTTTAGCGAAAGTTTGATAAATTGATATTTTTTTTCATTTGAGAGGATAATAATTACTAATTGTCCATTTTACAATTTTATGTACTAACTTGTTATTTCTAGTGAATTACGTAGATCTAACAACAATAATTATTTACGCGAAATCAAATAGATTGGTTGAATAAGATTCGGTGATTCAGTGGAAAATAATCAAGACATTATAGTTAACCACAATCTTTTAGTTCCACGTGTTTTACGACCTTCCAGTGATTTACTATAACTATCTTGATATTTATGTTGTTACTGTCCCGACCGAAGCTGCTACCTTGACGCGGTGGTCGGGCTTGCCTATCGTGCGTCAGTCAGTCAGTCAGTCAGTAACAACGTAGAACTTCGTACGTACGTACATCAGTTCGAGTTGCCACACCACATTAGCACAGAGATAAAGTGGTCGATTCAAATTCCGTAGTGGTAGAGGTAATAAGAGTATAAACAGTAATCGGGAAGATTAGTGTCTGGAGATGTTATTTAAAGAGTATAATACAATGAAATAAATTTGGGAAGAGAAAAAAAAGAGACAAGGAGGAATAAGGAGATCAAAATTTGGGAGAACACAAAGAGTGTATGCGCCTGCGCCATTGCAAACGATTTTGAGCCATGTCATTCAGGGTCTCTAACCATCGGTCGCTATCATCTCGCGGTCCCCAACCAGGTAGTCTACACCTACCGACATGACTCAGACCACTTGTTAGTGACTTCATGGACTTGTGCCATGTTTTGGTCTGGCCTCCCCTAGCTTTCTTCCAATCTACTCCGACACAACAAAACATCGCACGTCGAGGCAGTCGGTCGTTGGGCATACGCAACAAATGTCCCAGCCATCTCAACTGATGAAGTTTCACCACATCATCAATTGATTTGCCATCCTTACATAGTACCCGTTTCCTAACAACTACATTACTTACTCGATGGTCCCAGGATATACGAGCAATATTTCGAAGACACCTATGAGCAAATACTAGTAACCTACGGATATCCTCTACTCTTACCGGCCATGTTTCACTGCCACAAAGTAGGACTGAACCAAGTGCTGCCCAGTAAACCCGTTCTTTAGTTGGTAGATGGATATCTCGCCTACGCCATAAATGACGCAAGTTGGTAAAAGCTAGTCGAGCCTTCTGTATCCGTGTGAGATTTCGTCACACACCAGAACACAAGGGCTGATGAGTCTTCCAAGATAAGTGAAGCGATCGACACGCTCAATTACTTCACTCCCTCATACCCGTAAAAGCACAAGAGACCAAGTTGGTCACATTCAAATCCTTCCTACACCTCCTAATACCTCTCTTATCTCTATGACTAACACTCCTCACGTCTATTTATCACTTCGCACCGCTAGGGCAAACGATTCGAGTACGCGGAACGCTATTCCTGGTCTCCTGAAACCACGCTCTAAACTACACGTAGGAGCTTTTAACGTCCGAACACTGTGCCAAATAGGACGGAAGGCTTCCTTAGCTAGGACTTTAGAATCCCGCGCCATCGATGTGTGCTGCGTCTCCGAAACGCGCATACAGGATCCGAGTAGCGTCATTCATTTGACCTCACCATGCCAAAACAAAGAACCGACTCGATTCACACTTCGTGTATCTGGAAGCCCTGATTCTGCTTCCCGTGGCCTCGCCGGCGTAGGTATAGCATTGAGTCCTAGGGCAGAACTAGCTCTCTTAGAGTGGATCCCAGTAGACAGTCGTTTGTGCGCTGTCCGACTGAACGGAACAGTAAGGATCTGAAAAAATAGGGACACTCGTCGTTGCCTCTTCGTCGTCTCTGCCTATTCTCCCACTGACTGCAGCGCAGATGATGTAAAAGATGAGTTTTACAGAAAGCTCTCCGACCTTCTCCGAAAAGCTAGGCGCTCGGATGTAGTAATAGTGGCCGGTGACTTTAATGCTCAAGTAGGTAAACTAAGCGATAGGGAAAGACACCTGGGTGGATTTTATGGTGTCGTGGCTCAAAGAACAGATAATGGCGACCGTCTGTTGCAGCTATGCTCAGATAACCGCCTCTTTCTTGCAAATACTAACTTTAGGCATAAGAACTCCCTAATTCGTCCCAACGTTGGACCCAAATAGATCACATCGCTATCAGCCACCGATGGAGGGGCTCGATAGAAGACTGTCGCTCATTCTGGAGCACATGCTTAGATTCAGATCATGCTCTAGTACGAGCGCGTATCTGTCTGCGTCTTACTGGACGTAGGAAAGACGCTGCAAGGAAACCTCTTAGGGCCTACTTAATGATAGTCAAGCTAAGAGTATATTTCAGGAACAACTAGGAAAACAGTTAGGCAGCCATGTATGTGATGCCCACCCCGAGGCAGCATGGAATGATATCCGAAAAGCTGTGGAAACAGCAGTGATATCTGCTAGTAAGGTAAACCGTAAGGTTAGGGAGCAACACTGGATCTCAGCAGCATCTATCGCACTGATAGATGCTCGGAAACTCATTCCACCTGGCTCTGAACATAATGAAGAGCGGAGTCAGCTTAAGCGCAAGCTGACAAGAAGTCTACGCAATGATCGTGAACAGTGGTGGGTAGCGAAAGCAAGAGAGATGGAAAAGGCAGCGGCAATAGGTAATAGCAGACAATTGTTCAGACTTGTTAAGGAAACCGGTATTAGGAAACCGACTGTTAGCGAAACAATCTCAGAGAAAGATGGACATATTATACATTCTCAATCCAGGAGATTGGATCGATGGGCAGAACACTTTAGGGATCAGTTCAACTGGCCTTCAGCCACACTTCGGTTTCCCACGATCTCTAGTCAACCTGAATGGCAAGTTAATGTAGGTCCTCCGTCTCTTTACGAAGTTGAAAAAGCCATAGGAAATCTGAAGCGAGGGAGAGCAG